GACACAAACAGATTGTGTTCTGAACTGCTTATATGTTTAGTTTTTTGGCTATTACGCTTCATTTGGGACATTCAGTGATATGACAATGCGATAAACATAAACATGTCAACCGAAGGCTGTTGCACGCATTTCAATGCACTTTGCTGTTGCCAACAAGTACTGTGGATCCAGGGGCCATTATTCGCTTAACCATTGGGATAAGAAACAGGGACAGTAAATGACAAGAGCTAGGGAATAATGAATAAAAACCTAGCGTTGTCGGATTGAACGATTATGACTCGAAAATAGAAGAGACGCTGACTGGGTGAGTACGCTTTACTCCATAGAGTATGTAGTCACGAATGAAGCCGATACCGAGATGTTCGTCTTAGTAAGAAATGCGATCAAGCATTGTCTATTCTTCATTGAATTTTATCAGTTTCTTTTTCTACACCATCCTGCGAGTCAGGCCGAAGTTGCACCAAATGAAGCGCAGTAGTAATAGGCAGTACAAACTAAGACAACCGCTTAACAAATGTGCGAGGAATGTGTCGTTGCCAGAGCGGGCTATAAGAGTCCGACACACTTATGTCCCACCAGGGTGGCTATTGACAAACACCTAATAACTAGCCTATGATCTACGTAATGGCTACTTTCACCAAGTATGAGTAGCGCTTCTCTAGCGCCTGTATTCAGACACAGGCAATCTGTCGAATTCGTCAGCAACAATGGTCATGCCTCTGGTCTATACATCAAACTGATTACACTGTGGTGTTGTAAACGCTTTCCTTAGTCTATAAGCTCCGTCCCGTTGACTACATCCATGACTAAAGCTCTGATACACTACGTTAGCCTTAGTAGCGTTCAAGTAACCACTACAATGACGAGCTCACCAGAGATGATATAGCTGCTTGGCGGTATTGAAAATCGTTGGAGTCTGTCGACCCGTTTGCTCGAAGTTTACTTTGACTGCCAGCGACCCGTCCCCAATGGGTGTATAGGTGACCGATCTCACTCAAAGCTAAGTCGAATGTGCTTTTGGCAGGCCAATATAAATGTCAGGTCAACTGTATGAAGCAAATAATTAAGGGATGTATTCTCCACATTAGCTCTGGCTTTCTCAAACTGTCATAATGTCATCAAAAGCGTTTTAGATCAATGGCAGATTTGGGGCGAGGGGCAGGGTAGGGGCGGAAGTGAGCTTCATAAGCTGCATTCCTGAGTCGCCTAAGCTGGTGGGGTTGTTGCGACTTTTGCTGTTGTGATTGATGTTGCAACTTCCTAGGATGAGTGTGATGTCTCAATGCTCTCAGGGATTTTTCGCTGCGCGTTTTGAGGACTAAGTGATTTATCCATCCACGGGCTACGCAATAACCGCAACTAAGCTACTTAGGGCAGATGGCATTCCCCAGTTGCCTGGGCCAAAATGGACGACGGCCTTCGTGACCCGATACCTGACACATTGGCTGTTCCTGATGGCCATTGGGTTCCAAGTCAATTGCATCCGGGCCTCGGTACAAAAAATTGTCATAAAATGCGAAAAACGCAACCCCCCAATTGGAAAGAACATGTGAGAAGTATAGCGTGTGCTTCGCTTATGTGCATCCCGTGTGGGAAGTTGCTCGTCTGTGAACCGAAGCAGTATCGTGCGTTGCAGTCAGGGAACGCCCTCAGCACACTGTGGTTATTGCAATGATAATCTAAACCCTATATACAGGAGACAGTTTTCCGAAGAGCAAGGTAATCATCGCCTGTCATTCGAACTTTGTGAACAGGTCAAGTAAACAGCGTTATTATCCACCAATCGGGATCTGCCAACTAAACAGTCTGATGCTGCAATGGACTAACTTTTGGAGTAGACCAACTTCCGGCGATTGGGTCACGTACTTCGTCTACCGGGCATTCGCGAGCGTTCGGAAACCAGACCTGGTGGAGTGAAACTGTAGTTGGAGAATTAAATCGTTTGTATTACAGGGTTGCACAAGAATGGTAACGGGAGGACTGAAGCGGAATGACTCGTACTCTTAAGTAGTGCTCTCGGCGTAGCCCAAATGATGGGAAACGCTCTCAGACATACTGCGGTTGATGCCCGACGGTACTCATGCACTTTTTCTTTGAATCAAATTGTTGGTTCATTTTCCCGATGCTTCTAACCTTGTAGTAATTGTAGTAGTGCTGGTGGCGGCGGTGGTGGTTTCGTCACTGCTTGACTCAATTGAACAACCACCATCATCTGAAAAACATTTGGAGGATTGTATTTTTGTACTGGAAACAGATTTGAAACGCATGTTGCATACCGGATCGAGTATCCTGACTAAACTGGAGGCTATCTTATGACATTGTAAGTTTCCCGAGTAATCCATCTGGCCAAGCCATTAGTGGTTAGAGTTGAAGAGCTTCAGAAGTACCCTCACACCTTCAATACTTAGCCGGGCAAGACTATGGCTCTGGTTGAAACCCCTGTTCACTGTTTTGAAGTACTGCATTGGGCAGTTACTGAGACGCGCCTTACCGAACGTAGTAACCAACTCATGGGAGCCACTCCCTTCATTCGTGGCCCAACTGTGTAAACTACTGACTACGATTTGTATGCCTATGCCTAGAAGTCCCGAAGGACTCGAGTGGTTCACGCGCTGCTGTTCACTTGCAATGGATTGAAAGGATTGTCTAGCATCTGTCAAGATGGAGGTGCCTGTAGGACAAAGTCCCGCTGTGACGATACTGTGATTACATGATTTGAAACATTGGAGTGAAAAAACTACGATTAGCTACGAATCGTAAGTTGCACGAGGACTGTGAAGCGCAGGCCGCTGCCTGCCTTTTGGAGATTCTTGCCACTAAGATAATGACTGTGGAATGAATATGGTGTGATAGCTTGTAGACTGTGACCATCATTTAAAGCAGACGGAATCCATAAGCCAAACCAAGAACACCGTGTAACTTTGCTTTTGTAGGTGCCCTCATTGACACGGGGAATCTAACAACCTTTGTAGCCACCAGCCTGGCATCCTCAGTAACTCGCATGTTGTTGGGTATCGTAGCTTTTAATTTTCAAACTATAGGTCTACCAACGAGTGACCCTTACAAGTGTTGGTCGTGATGTGAGATTCTGCACTGCCAGATTATTTTGACAGATACACTACAATTGACTTGATTTCCGAGTTAATTGGCCGTAGCTTCCGTTACATACCGATCGTGTATTCCTAATCCTTGTAGGGACCCGTAGTCCGTTTAGACGTAGGAAAAACACCAACGCCGGATGGTAGGTATGAACCTGTACTCTGCTCCTAACTGGATCCTAGTGAAAACATGTAGGACCAAAACGAACCAATGAGTAACAGAGACCAATCAGGGAATACACTAATGTGATTGGGCGCCGACTTTAGACTTGGGGAAAGTGGATAGGGGTCACGGGACGTAAATCGACACGGCCGCTTTCAAAAGTAACCCGCAGATCGCTCACGGATGGGGGATTCAATTAGTAAGGTTGCATGTCGCATCTCACTGCACTGAGGATTCCACCTCGCTTGGTGGTGAAACGTTTGCGACAAAACCGCCAAGCTCGGAGAACAAATGAACAATTAACAACATGGACGCTTCAGTTGTGCGATCTCGATTGATGTTGAACTAGCATCTGACATTTTCCAAGTAGGTCTATGACCTTACCCGACTAAATCTTGAAAACCGATTCACTCGGTTCCAAATTAGGTAATGATGAAAGTGCATTCTGGTCCATTAATGTCACTGCTGAGCAGGTGTCTAATTCAAAGAAAACAGACTGACCATTAACAACAAGCGTGATCATATACGGAAGTACTTTGTTCCTATTTGAACAGTTCGCACATACATGATTCATAACATGTAACCGTGAAGCACGTGACCCCATCGTTTTCGTTCAGCGATTTAATGGAAATGTGATGGTGTTGCTTATTTCGACCATCCATGTCAAATAGTGATCCGTCACACTGATCTGCTCTTGACTCGCCCCCATCGGCAAAGGCCTAGGTTTGCTCATGAGGATTTGACTAGTCGTTGGATGAGTGCTCCAGTGATGTCAGGTACTCTGAACTGAGGAGTAAGCAAAACAAAGTTGACAACTACACATTGTGTTAAACCAACATGAAAATGTGCGCTGCGACTGTCGGTGCTGTAAAATGCACTCTTAGGCCTGAAATGGTCGATCACTGTTATCTGCAAGCAGCTGGGGTAGTATTTTGGTGATCCATGTTGCCCTAGTGATTGTAGGACGAAGGTTTGTTTCAAGCATCTTTGAAATTACCTGACACAGTCGATCCACACAATGATATCCCGAACCTAAACAAGGAGTTTCTAGCAGCTGCAACATGTGTGATGGAGAAAGCGTTTGCGTTCGTTCCACATCTTACGTATCACTCACAACTTCTGGCTGCTTCTACCTGAAGGGCCAAAGTGGAAATGGAATGGATGGCAGATTGTGTCCTTGAACACAGGCATCAAAGAGCACACATGACTCAAATGCAATTCCGGATGGTGAACTGAACGGGATTTATCCCGAAGCAAATCGTGGTCCACATTTTGATGGGCATCGCAAATCGAATACAGTGTATGCACTCAAACCCAAGTCGCAATGGTCATTCGCATGACTGGGGTGAATCCAGACGGCCAGGTTAGGTTTCAACTTACGTTTTCATAGTTTGCTCTCAATTCGTTAAGAATCCTAATCGCTTGTCGAGGGATCCTGCAACTCTAGGAGCTAATTGCAACAGCCCAGTTGATAAGGCGAGAGACGAATAGTTTGGATGGGTGAAAAATTGGGCATTTGTTTTGCAATGTTGTAGGAATTACTCTGGACCACACAACTTCACGGAGCGTGGATACAGGAAGGGGAATCGATTACTGCTCTTTCGCTTAATCGTCTACAAGCTGTTTGGCCAGATTTTATGCAAATTGGCAATGAGCCTTAGAGCGCATGCAAACGCTGATCGACAAGCACACACTACATGACCAGGGCTAGCAACTTGAGAGCACTTGAGGTCCACGCTTCATTCTGTGCTCATATCGCTTGAGGCCTCAAAACGATCGGCCACTTTAGTCGCTATTTTCCCCTGGGAGCCACACTGTTTATTGGTTGGATCGAGATGGTTGACAGAACCGTCTGTTGACTGCATCACAACCACAGGTTTAGCAAGAAAGAAATTCTTATCACACACACATACACACTCAGGACGCGGAACAGTGGTGAGGATAGCATGAATATCTTCTTGTTCTGAGCGCTTCCACTCAATTGCAATCAAAATGACCAACTCCACGCGTACTGGTCGGATACCATCGTTTGGACGCATCCGTTGCTATCGAGAATGGTCCTTCCTTTGGATAGTGGGACCAAGGACGGTAAGGCAGCAGAGCAATTGGGTGTGAAGCAGTTTCTTCACTTTCTCCAAGGTGTGCTTAGGGATTATTGGTAACTGTGAATTACATTAACCGAGTTAATCGCATGCCTGAAGTCCCAAATATCACTCGTGTATCACATGTAGTGTGCGCGTTGGGAACATTTGAGTCCCGCATCCAAAGTGGAGCGTTTTATGTGTTCTACGGGAGCTCACTAGTTCAGTGGACGATAAATTGCGCTATGCCGACTGAGGTGAGAACAGCTTTTGTTGAAATACTAGTCGTAAACTGACAGCGATTCGCATTAGCATCACTATCAAGTGTCATAGAAGCAGTATTAAGCAAAATAGTATAACATTCCTTATCCATTGAAGGCAACGGCGTCATGAAAGACCGCAGATTCTTTCTTAAGTTGGTAATTCACAAGGACAATGTACAGAACTCTGCAGCGTACTTCCTACCTCGTCTATTCAGCTATGAAAGAGACAATGTTGCTTGACCCGATGCATGCCCTGTATGTAGGCAAACTTCCGTGTTTAGGTGATCGACTGGTTGTCATGGGTGGAAGAAGAGTAAGTAGGGTACCCGAGTCAAAAAGAAACAAAGACTGTCCAATCTATACATATTATTATGCACCTAAGTATACACGACGATAGAATGTGCATGACGAGCGGTTGAAACCGCAATGATTTATGTGGGTATTCTGGTGAGATCCTTGTTAACTAGCAAGCCAAGCACACCCAGGTTGCTCAGGCTGTAAGAATGCAATGCCCCCATGTCACAGTTCGAACGACTACTGCCGAGTGGAACACCGTTGTCAAACCGCTCTCCATGGTTCCAGTTATGAAGTTATTTCAATATCCCCAACATCCCTCACGTATCCGTTGAATGGCTGTAAAGTGCTAGAGAGCGTGGGATGAACGCATTGCGTCCTCTCATCAAGCGTACACGAAGATGCCTCATTCTTTGCGCTGAAATTAAAGGCCTCGTTTTGAACAATTATTTCATTACATATTCGCACGAACTCCGTATCCACAGTATTGTCCCAAGGTGCAATTGAAAAGCAGTAGGCACTGGGACCCCAATGCAGCAATTATCGTGGTGGGATCCCCATTTATTTCAGCAGCGCCGTGGCATCGAATACAGTATCCATCACGCTGCTACGGTACGTATGATAACACAGTGAAGGTTTACGTCCCAATAGAGCCATGAACTTTCATTCTGCTGATGCCTATTCAAAACATGGCACTGCATAATTGATTAAGTTTGCATTTGGAAGTTTCAGACGGCGAAGACGGTGGTGGAACAAAAGAAGCAGCGACATGGTGCTGTGTTGATGAACGCCATCATCAACGTGGGTGAAACATGTCATGGCGCATTGAACTTCATTCATGAGTTATCGGAATACTCGGGGAATAATGTCTTGTACTCAGGTTTGCACATCCCTCACTTGAAAGACGAACTCGATAGTTCCTTTCAGTAGGAATCGCCTGTGAGATGGGTCTTCTTAGTGGTTTGCTACACTCGATACTTTCCCACACACTTGATATCGTCTTCATCCTGCCCTTTAGGGTGGACTTAGATGAGCTGGGACAGGAATTTGCAATTCCATTTATCTGGTGCACACGTCAACAAAAGCCACCGAATTTCACGAGTAACGCGAGTTTACAATGCCTTGGAACTAGTCGGTGGTTTTTTTAACATTTAAAAAATTCTCCGGTTAGATAACAAGTTACTTTGACTAGAAACACTTTAACCACGATCCCCAGGATTGGATGTGAGCGAAAACTGTCATGGCATTGCTCGCTCCGAAAACTAGACGTATTATTTAGAACTTCCTCTAGTAGTGGACAGACACACCGTACACTTAGCTAAGGGTTCGCAGGGTTACCAACTGGAGAAGAGCATGCAATTTTACGCCTTGAGATTAAACTCAGGCTTCTGAGGACAGGCAAACTCACTGATCACCACAGGTTCTCGGAAATGATATGCCGCTTAAACTAGACAGGATGCCTCAGGTGGAATATTGGAGCGAATCCGAATAGCACCCTCTAATCACATAATGATGTTTAAGTGGTTTCCATCAGTGGGTTGTCTACTGGGGATAGTAAAAAGACCAATCAGTAATTACGATCGTCGCGAATAAGAGAGCAGTTGTTAGGAAGGAATACGCGATACGAAAAAGCCAGGACCCCATCGCCGCGGCAGGCGATCCAAACTCACCAGCCCTGATTGGGGCGAACAGAGAGCCAATCGGATGAAGCGGCCAATTAACGCGAGGGCGGCGTTCCTTGATTCGCTGTAAGTTAACCCATCCAGAGCCTTCAAACTGAGCTTTAAATACCATACACGAACTTTTCAGTTTACCTTTATAATGAACGGTGTGATTCGCTAATACATCCCTGTTGCTCTGCTCGTCTGATCCAGTTTTCTCTATGACCTATGGGGGGCCAGCAACTTCGGGTTTTGCTCGGGAATCCAGTGTCCATTCATGCAAGGGACGAACACTTCTGCGGGCGACGGGTTGAACCCTGAACAAGATGTCCATATCGGCTGACGAGCTCAAGGCCATTCTGCTGCAGCAACAAGCACAATTTGAGGCATCCCAACTCAGGCTGATCAAAACTCTTACGCGCCAACTCCCAATCCAGACCAGTTCATTGTCTATAACCGTCAAGCCGTCCGCCTCGGTAGACGCCATCACTAACAGCATTACCGAATTTTCGTACGACCCTGATGCTGACCTCACTTTTGAATCTTGGTTAAGACGTTATGAAGATGTGTTCTGTGTTGAACTTGGAGACCGTGATGATGATTGGAAAGTCCGATTGCTATTAACTCGGAACAACAGAGCACTCCAGGTATGTCAACTTTATTTTGCCTAAGGACGCTCGAGACTGCAATTTTGAGGAGACTTTCAAATGCTTGGGTCAAATATTTGGAGAGCAGTCATCCATTTTCAACACGCGATATCAATGCCTGAAGATCACCAAGGTGGACGCTGATGACTACGTCACTTATGCTGGCATCGTCAATCGCAAATGCGAAAAATTCGACATCAAATGCATCACGGCAGATCAGTTCAAAGGCCTGATTTTTATCTGTGGCCTACATTCCCCACGGGATGCAGAGATTCGCACCAGGCTGCTGAGTAAACTTGAACACGACCAGCAAATGACCCTACAGACCATAACTACTAAATGCCAACGATTGCTGAACCTCAAGCATGACACGTTTATGCTGGAGAAGCAACAACCAACCCCAAGTATTAGTGTATTAAAAACCACTTCAAAGAAATCGCTTTCAAGTGAAACAGGCCATGTAAAGCCCAGAGAGAATCCCAAGCCCCCGACTGCCTGTTGGAGATGTGGTGAGTGGCATTTTGTTTGAGTGTGTCCATTCCTGAAACACGTTTGCCACAAGTGTCATAAACGGGGACGTAAGGAAACGCGCTGCCTATCCAGACTGCAGTTCAAGCCTGCAAGACATACGCGACTGAATTCAAATGTTCCCAAAAAATTCAGCAGCTATAGTACGGTTCAAGCGGTCTACTCTGATGAACATGTGGCTTGCAGAAAGTACATCAGAGTTCACCTGAACGGGCAACAAATGCGTCTTCAGCTAGGTACAGACTCGGACATTACAATTATCTCCAGCAAAACTTGGAAGTACATTGGTGCTGCCGTCAATCAGCCGAACGACTCCTGTTGCATTTAACGCTTCAGGAAGTCAACTTAATCTCGTTGGTGAGCTGCAGTGTGAAATGGTTTGTGGCGCTGCTCGGACAAACGGTATCGTGTACATTACGGGGCTGTCACATTTGAATCTGCTTAGACTCGACATTCCCCTTAGTCAAATCTGCAATACCCTCCGGCTCGGACAAACCAAACCCTCTTCGGAAGGTGACGAACCAAACAACAACTTGATCGAGCAGATACGAAGGAATTTCCGGCCTGTGTTTTGCAATGACTTGGGAAGATGCACAAAGACCAAAGCGAGCTTTACTCTCAAGGACGGTGCCAAACAGGTATTCCGACCCAAAAAACCGGTGTCATGCGCTGCGCTTCCGATTGTTGATGCGGAACTTCATCGTTTGGAGCGGACCGGCGTCATCCATCCTGTGAACTATTCAGCCTTGGAAGCACTGATTGCCTTCGCCAAGAAGACCAATGGAACCGTTCGTATCTGTGCTGACTACTCTACGGGATTGAATGCTGCTTTGAAAATGCACCAGTATCCTTTACCAGTCCCAGAAGATTTATTTACTAAGCTCAGTGGTGGCGCTTACTTTACAAAGCTAGATTTATCAGATGCTTATCTTCAAAGTGAAGTCGACGATGCTTCGAAGGAGTTGCTGGCAATCAATACTCACCGAGGTCTTTGCCAGTTCAACCGTTTGCCGTTGGGTGTCAAATCAGCTCCTGCCAATTTTCAACAAATTATGGATATGATGTTAGCTGGGCTATCAAGTGTCGTAACTTACCTGGACGACATCATAATCAAAGGGTCCACCTATCCAGAGCTGACGGAAAGACTGGAAGCAGTTCTCCACCGCGTTAACGACTACGGTTTCCACTTGAAAGCAGAAAAGTGCAATACCTGCATGAAGTGTGTAAAGTATCTTGGCTTCATCATCGACAAGGATGGCCGTCGTCCGGATCCTTCCAACATAAATGCCATAAAACAGATGCCTCCCCCTGACAATGTGGCGAAGCTCAGATCATTCTTGGGGTTGAGCAGCCATTACAGCTCTTTTGTGCCCGAAATGCATCGGCTACGAGGACCGCTCAGTGAACTTCTGGTAAAGGATCGCAAATGTTTGTGGTCTCTTGGATGTCAAGCCGCTTTTGATAATGTCAAGTCTATATTGTGTTCATACCTGTTACTAACGCATTTCAATCCGGAGCTGGAGATCATAGTGGCTGCTGACGCGTCAGATTACGGAACTGGAGCA